GATGAGAGATTGCAAGTCATCTAGTGGTGAATCATCTTAACTATCCATTTGATACACGCCACCATCTATTCTAGCTGATGTTGAGATCTTCTAATAAGTGATAACCCTATAAATAAGGAAAAGCTTCTTATCCAACTTAGCAGTCACTGGATACCCTGCGAAAGAGCTTCCAACTTTGGTTATTACTATTTGTGCTGAGAAAGAGCTTGGGCTAGGTAAAGTTATTGCGCTCTAGTAGTAGTTACTTAGTTTTGAAGTAAGGGCTAAAGGTGGGCTTGGAGAAGGAATCAATTAATTTTGGAATCCCTTTTCTTTTGGACAATCCCTTCTAATTCATGACTATGCTTTGAAAATAAATAAAAATAAATGGACAGTCCCATTGCCCAAAGCCAAAAAAAAAGAAATTTTTTAAGTTGAAAATTAAAATTAACTAAAAATACGAGAATAAAAGCGTTGCAATCATTTTTTTGGGTTTTTTTGCTATCTTCTTACGGTCCCGTTACTCAACCATCAATTTTTTTTTTCTCAAAGTCAAAACTTTCATCTCCTTCATCCTTAAGGACCTTAACTACAAAAACTTTAAAAATATTTAAGTTACTTTTTCCATTGTAATATGTTTTCCTTTTCAGATAAAAAAGTACAATGATTTAGTGATCAATTGAGATCACATGTCCAAATAGTTGATCATACCCTGACAAAATCCTAGTTTCACCATTGTCATATACTACTTCACTTCAAAGGTCTATTGAGAACCTCACCATTGGCTAATGAAGGGTGTGATTCAAATAATGCTTCACTTAAAAAGTCTATTGAGAACCTCAATATTCGCCGATGTAGGGTGTGATCCAAAGAAATATTATAGTTATATAAATATTTTCTTTAAATAATTAATTATGGTTTTTAAATATACTAGACTATTGATTGATTTTAATTTGTTATATTAATTAATAAATATTAGTAATTATTTTAATTTTTAATTTTTTAATTAATATTTCAATAATGAATTATTTTTAATAATTAAATCAAATAAAATTAATATTTAAAAAAAATATTAAAAAATATTAGATGTGTATAATAGACAGGAGTGATATTATATATATATATATATATATATATATATTAGAGTTAATTGTTT